ACCATAATTTGAAAAGAAGACTGATTGATAAGTCTGAATTGTACTATATTGCCATTCCCAAATTAGGCCAGATATGATCCTAGTTTATAAAATATATTTGATGGTGCTTTTGAAATGTATTTCTGCCACTTGTTGGAATTCATATGCTTCCTATTTATTAAATCATTATTGAGGTATCTTAATTTAATTATCTTTTTGTGCTAATTTGTTGAGCTGGAGAGCATGGGAGAGCAATTAGTTATAGCGGTTATGTGGGGTGAGGTGAGATATACTGGAACAATATTGCCACAGAGACGGCCATTTCTATGACCTCTTATACCAAGAGAGAAAGGAAAAGACCTCAGAAAATAGTTTAAAAAGTATTATTAAAAATCCAGATAATCTCTACTCCTCAGGCACTGGGCTGATTACATTATTTATTTAGAAGAGTTATATGGCTGGCCATCTTAAATAACTTGTGGTGGCTAACAACCTGTCCCTAGGATACATAGGGTATATTGGGCTCCTCTAATATCCTGGCCCCAATGCCTGAGAGAACAGCCAGGTCTTCATGACTTCCAGAAGGCCAAAAAACTCCATTTTGGACATTGAGTCCCAAAAGAATACAGATAGTTTATATGGGTAGAAGCTTCCACCTGCTACATGCAGGTTCTTTTGACCTCACTGAATGTTGTTCTTAAAGTCAGTTGGTGGAAAAGTGGAAACCTCTCCTCTCTGAATGAAGATGTTCTCCGCCCAAACATGATTTTTGGGACCTCAGCATGTATCTCGCTGTATAGGTAGATGGAATAATTATTATGTTTCAGACTGAGTTCACATGTTGTGTCATGGGGCAGCCCAGGGGTTGGCAACCTTTTTGTGGTCCCACAACAGCCCAGCGTTTTTTCAGCCTGCTTTTTGGGGGGGTAAGGGGTGAAATGGCTGCCTTAAGCCTTGCAGAAGTTTAGATTCTCATTTCACTCATTAAGCCCCTCCCCCTAAACTACCAAGGATCCTGCTGAATATCCCATTGGAAGGATTAAGGGGCCATGTGGATGCCAAGTCTTTCAAAGGCTTAAGGCATCCATTGTGCCCCTCTAATTTCCTCTCCCCAAACCAAGATGAAAATTTGGCCCCATTCTGGTGATATAATGATATCACTAGCCACAGTTCCTTTGGCTCTTGGAGTTTGGAAAATTCCCATCATTTGGTTTTGCTTATTATACTTAAAGTAGGCTGTAAGATCTGTGGATAAGATCTGCAGGCGATATCTGCCAAGTAAAAGGTTCAAAGGCTTACCCAGGAAGCTAAAAGCAACATAAAGAAGTTTTTGGCTATGTCTATAATAAAAGGAAGGGGCTAGGCCCACTGCTAGGAGACAATGGTAGGAAAATAAAAACTGATGGAAAGAGAGCAGAGCTCCTCATCTATTTTGCTTTGGTCTTCTCTCCAAATGGGAACTGTATTCAAACAGACCTAAGGAGAACAATTAACATGACAGAATGGCAAGCCCAGATACGTAAAGGCATAGTTAGGAAGCCGCTGGCTACCATGAATGAATGTAAATCTACAAAACCAAACCAGTTACATTACAGAGTCTTGAAGGAACTTGCAGATGTCATCTTAGAGCCCTTTTCTGTTGTCTCTGAGAAATCATGAAGGATGAATATAATGCCAGAGGATTGGAGAAAGGCAAGAAATCCACTAATAAATGAGGGCTGGAGGTCCACTTATTTAGTTTCAGAGATTCTATATCCTATCCCTTTTTTGCTGCCATTAAACCTAATTAATGAAATTCCATGTGAATTGCTTCCATGGTCATGCATTATTATTTAAGGGTTTGACAGGGCTGACTATGCTATTGTTAGAGGAATGCAGAGCTGGCTGAACAATCGTACCCAAAGTATGCACATCGATGTCTTCTTATCAATGTAAAATTCCTACACTACATTGCTGTTGTTATTTTGTTGATGTTTTAGGTGGTTGTTAGCTACCCACAGTTGCATGACAAGTGGACAGCTGTATGCATTGAATGAATGAATGAATGAATGAATGAATGAATGAATGAATGAATGAATGAATGAATAAGAGTAGGGAGATTCAAATACAGGGGTATAGGATTGGGTAAGACCATACTGGGCAGCATGCGATAAAAGATCCAGGGTGTCAGTGGATCACAAGCTAAACATGAGCCAACAGTGTGATGCCACTGCAAAGGGACAAGTGCTCTCCTGGCATTATACCAACAAAAGGATAGTGTCATTATCAAGGTAACTCAAGGTAACTTCCATGGTCATGCATTATTATTTAAGGGTTTGACAGGGCTGACTATGCTATTGTTAGAGGAATGCAGAGCTGGCTGAACAATCGTACCCAAAGTATGCACATCGATGTTCCTCTCTATCTGCATTGATTAGACTACACCTGGAATACTGTATTCTGTTCTATGTTCATTTTAGGAAGGATATTGACAAATGAGTATGTCCAGAGAAAAACAACTAAGATGATAATGGGGTGGAAGGGAAAACTTACGTAGAACAGTTGTAGGTATTGAGTATTTTAGCCTGGAGAAGACTGCAAGGAAACATGATACCTGTCTTTAGGGAGCTAAATAAGATAGGAACAAATTTTTCAGTTCTGGATGACAGGGCAATAAACAATGCATTTAAAGCACAAGGAAGTACATTTCAGTTAGCCATCGTGAAAACATCCCTAATGATAAGAGCAATTAAACAATGGAACAAATTGCTTTTGGTGCTGGTGAACTGTCTTCTCTGTAAGTGTTTAAACAGGCTGGATAGCTATTGGTCAGGGATGCTGTGGTCACAAATTTCAGCACTGGGCAGGGAGGTGGATTAGATTATTTCTTTTTTAAAAAGGTATATATTGCTACTATAAGTTCAAAAAAAGGAAAAGGAATAATGCTGAAAGAAATATAGATTTTTAAAATAGAGAAGAAAGGGAGAGGGGAAAAATTATGAGCAATAAAATGCAGGTGGATAATTAACAAGGATGTACTATTGGTCAGTTTTGGCACATCTGGGCCAGTATGTCAGAAGTGCAATCAAAATCCTGTTTTATCTAAAACCAGCTCACATTGTTCTAAATAATCTTTTCCTTTTATCTCCTGTTTTTAATGTCTTTTGCTTTTTGTTTGCTTTGTGTAACACTGCTTGCTCCAGAAGGACATCACACAATGGGTTTGTATGTGATACTTTGGTCCGTTTGCTTTTAAGGAGCCTGACCAAGAACACGGCCTCAAGAATTGCTACATACAGGTGAAACTCGAAAAATTAGAATATCGTGCAAATGTTCATTTATGTCAGTAAGGCAACTCAAAAGGTGAAACCAATATATGAGATAGACGCATTACACACGCCGCATTGCGGCAGTCATTGCTGCAAAAGGGGCCCAAACCAAGTACTGAGTACATATGCATGCTTATACTTTGCAGAGGTCCGATATTGTTCTATTTCCAATCACGCCGCATTGCGGCAGTCATTGCTGCAAAAGGGGCCCAAACCAAGTACTGAGTACATATGCATGCTTATACTTTGCAGAGGTCCGATATTGTTCTATTTCCAATCACGCCGCATTGCGGCAGTCATTGCTGCAAAAGGGGCCCAAACCAAGTACTGAGTACATATGCATGCTTATACTTTGCAGAGGTCCGATATTGTTCTATTTCCAATCACGCCGCATTGCGGCAGTCATTGCTGCAAAAGGGGCCCAAACCAAGTACTGAGTACATATGCATGCTTATACTTTGCAGAGGTCCGATATTGTTCTATTTCCAATCACGCCGCATTGCGGCAGTCATTGCTGCAAAAGGGGCCCAAACCAAGTACTGAGTACATATGCATGCTTATACTTTGCAGAGGTCCGATATTGTTCTATTTCCAATCACGCCGCATTGCGGCAGTCATTGCTGCAAAAGGGGCCCAAACCAAGTACTGAGTACATATGCATGCTTATACTTTGCAGAGGTCCGATATTGTTCTATTTCCAATCACGCCGCATTGCGGCAGTCATTGCTGCAAAAGGGGCCCAAACCAAGTACTGAGTACATATGCATGCTTATACTTTGCAGAGGTCCGATATTGTTCTATTTCCAATCACGCCGCATTGCGGCAGTCATTGCTGCAAAAGGGGCCCAAACCAAGTACTGAGTACATATGCATGCTTATACTTTGCAGAGGTCCGATATTGTTCTATTTCCAATCACGCCGCATTGCGGCAGTCATTGCTGCAAAAGGGGCCCAAACCAAGTACTGAGTACATATGCATGCTTATACTTTGCAGAGGTCCGATATTGTTCTATTTCCAATAAAGTAAGGCTTGACATATCTCGCTTTGCATGTAATGCGTCTATCTCATATATTGGTTTCACCTTTTGAGTTGCCTTACTGACATAAATGAACATTTGCACGATATTCTAATTTTTCAAGTTTCACCTGTACTTTTTTCTCTCTCTCCCTTTTTCTGGAGGGGACGCGCGCGCCTTGGGTCTTTGCAGGTGGCTAGATCCGAACGCGTTACCTCAAAATGTGACTAGTTTGCTGCTTAATCGCGGACCTTGTCATGGGATCTGGAAATCATGATTCATAGCTTCGCGTGGCTATGAACTCAGCTAACTGCGGGGTATTCAGAAAATCTTAGTTTAGTGCTATGGCTATTAGTTTAAGACACTTCCCTGCCCACAAAATGCTGCGCTCCGGTGGGACTTTACATTTTCCGAAGAGGACTCCCTGAGCGAACCTGTTAGTAACAGGTATAGTCATGCTTAATATTAAACCAGCATGGAAATATTTTATTTAAAATTTTTTTTTAATGGTTTTAGATACACATTACAGAAGAGAGCGAACGTGAAAGTTTTTTGCAGGCGGCAGCCGCCGCAGCGCCTCAACGTTGCGTTGGACTGAGCCCGAGCTCAGCGTAAGGACTGGCTCGAAGCTCGCTCGTCTTCAGCGGCAGAAGAATCAGAGCGGGAACGCTTGATGCTGGAGCTGCTTCTCGACGGGGAGCTATCGCAGTGACGCCAGCGGGGAGGGAAATTCTGTCCGGCGGGCAGCGAAGCCGGGAACTCCTGGTTGCGTCGACGGAGGGCGCTAGGCGAGGAAGATGCTGCTGGTGCTGTCGGAGGAGCACAAGGAACATCTGGGCTTCCTTCCCCAAGTGGAGAGCTCAGGTAGGATCGCTTTGAGGGCTTGCTGGGCTGCCTGCCTGCCTGCCTGCCTGCCACTCGCTTCACTTACGGCCTCGCCCACCCTGGGCCTCCGTGGCTCCAGGGACCACGGGCCTTCCTCGCCCCCTCGCTTGCATCCCGCGGTGGGAGACGGAAAAGCGCGTGGGGGATGCGCGGAACTAGCCCTGCTACGTTGGGGCCTACACCACTACGCAAGCCTTTGCCTGTTTATTTGGGAATGTTCAGTGGGGAGTATTGGAGTATTTAGGGCTGCGGCCTGGCAGAGCGTCCTGGGTATGTTTGCTCAGCTGAAAATACCCGTTGGATATCCTTAGGGTTTGTTTCCAAGGAAACGGAGATAGGATCTCAATTTGAAAGACAAAAATCAACTCGTGGTTAGTAGGGGTTTTTTTTCAGCATTGCCAGCAAAGATGCTTGTAGCAAATAAATGCATATGCCCAATGAAAATAACTCTCCTCCCCCTGCTTTTGTAGTACTACAATTATTTATTGCAAGTAGGCATAAAAATCCTAATGTGGTTGTTTGCTTGTTGATGCTTAGGGCTGTGGCCTGCTTAAAGCTTCTCTCCATCTTATGTTCGCTTTATTTTCTGGTGTATGCTATGTAGGTTTATGATCACTCTTGACTTTAAGCCTAAAGCAATAATAATAATATAAAGTTATTCTATAATTTGACGTAATTTAATTCTCCAAATTTAACATGAAAGCTATTCTAAGATAGCTTTAGAGCATCTTGCATAGTTTTCAAAGACCAAAAAAACTATACATAATGCAAAAAATAATTGGTTCTGTATATTCAAGATCGAAGTATATTATGTAAAAACATTTTTTAAATGAAGAGCACAGAGACCATAAATCTAAACAAGAAGCAATTCTTGTAATTAATGTCTATTCATGTATCTTAATATGCTTTGTTAAATGTTAACGTACCAATAGAGGCGAATATGTGTAGCTCAGGGTTGAACTGTGGAGTCCTTGGGGTTCTCT